GCGAGCTGCCCACTTCCATCTCTGGAGATGGTAATTACTGCTTTATAAATAAGCTTTGAACACCTCTAAGTAATGGCTTCTCCTTGCATGAAAGCACCCTGAACCCATTGGCCTTTTCCATCTCCTGCTACTGTCTGCATCTGAAAATAAAATAACCCCCAAAAAGGACAGAATGCCTTTAAGAAACACCCGTGGTGCTGAGCTGGTCTTGGTGCAGCACAACACAAGGTACTCGATGCTGAGCTCTGCTCTTCAGCATCCAGACACCTGTTCCCATTCATTGCCTTTATCAGTGCCAGGGGAGGTTCAGGTTGAATATCAGGAATGATTTCTTCTCTGAAAGAGCTGCTGGGTGCTGGAACTGCTGCCCATGGAGGTGGGAGGGTCACCGTCCCTGGAGGAGTTTGAGAACCAGAGAGATGTGGCACTGAGGGATGTGGTCGGTGGGCACAGTCAGACGGAGTGGGGATATGAAAGGGCTTTTCCAGCCTGAATGGTTCTGTGACTCGATGCTCCTACGCCTGAATTCCCAACCCCTGAGGCTGCAAAAGCAGAACCAGGGAGCACAAGAAGGGCGTGAACAGAGCATTTTCAATTGTATCGATTCATAGTCATTTTTAAAGCAGCTCCAGGCTTTCTAGGTGCACCATGTATTTATTGCAGCAGTCTGGGACAGCAGCATACTTTAAATCCTTTAGAAACTCCTGTTACTTCTGCACACCCCGCTGCACAGCAGACAGATAACACCACCATTTACTGAGCAGAGACAGCGACACTGAAAGAATTCCTCCGTTAGGAGGAGCGGGGCTCGTTCTGCTTCACAGCTCACAGCCTCCATCCGAACTCCACAGCCAACACCAGCACAGCTCCAACATTCCCTCAGACCTGATCTGTGCAGCACCACGGGGACGTGGCAGCCGCAGCACAGGGATCTGCAAAGGGTCAGAGCAGCACCTAGGAGCACTGGGGGGAGCGGGGACAGGGATAGAGTGGCCAACACAGGGCAGATCTTGGGCAGAATGCTGCTTCCCAGAAGCTCTAAGTGTTTTCAAATGTTAATTCCTCCTCGCAGCCAGAAAAACTATTTTTAATCCCACGTGAAAGCAGTTTGCAGCAGCCCCAGCTCTGCGTGTATCACAAGGAGAGCACACACATTCTCTGAGCACAGCTGTTGGGGCAGTGTTTCAGCCCCAGCTCTAATGCACAAAAGGGACATCGAGCCCTGTGCATGCGGACACATTTTTCTGTCTACTATCACATTTAAAGTAGCACCTATACAATAAAACATTCAAATGCCATTAGAAAGCGACCACCATTGCCTCGGTTTCCCTGTGTTTTCCCTCTGTATTTTTATACACACAGGGGAAGGTGATGCAGAAAGGCTCTGTGCTGGTAATGAAAGCTACAAACGGAAATGAGAAATCACTGAATCAGAGCAGCGAACCCAAGGAGAGCTGAGATGCACAGAGGCAAACAAGGGCAGCTCTGAGCATGGAAATGCAGCCCTACACAGGGCAGATTGGCCCTGTCACGGAGTAGAAATAACATCCCCAAACCACTCTGTGCATTGCTACCCAAATCCTGGCGAGGTTCCCCTTGTTCCCCACTACCCATGGGCTTCTAAAAGGCATCTGGGAATGGCACAGTCCAGATAGGCTCTCAGCACGGTGCCAAAGAGGTGCTTGTGACTGTACGGATGGATCGAGGCACTCTATAGCATAATGTGCACAAACACCCCCTCAAAACATCTCCTGAGTTCCACTCTTCAGCTGCCAGAAGCACTCACAGCAGAAGTCAAAGCAGCAGTGCTGGAGCCACATCCCTTTGCTGCTGCCCGAAGGCTGTGAGGTCCCGAGATGAAGTCTGCCTTCAGAAATCCCAAATGCCATTATCAGATTCAAGAGGCAAAGCACGGCCCGTGGGTGCACACACACACACTCCCAATGCACGCAGCCCTCCAACACACACCCAGCAGTGCAAGCAAAGCACATGGAGAGGCCTCTCCCCCCACAGTGTGCAGACCCACAGCCCAGCAAGAGGCAGAACGGCACCGAACCGTGCAGCTCAGCCCCAGAGTTTGGGCTCTGGGATGCTCCGCAGCACCAACGATTGCTGCTCATGTGGGGCTGAGTGCTTGCTGACTGTTGGCAGCACTCACACATGGGTGGATTCATTACTTCTGCCCCAAACCAGGAGGAAATAAGGAATTATTTGCAATTCCTACAGAATCCACCACCCGCAGCGGTTTCTCACAGCACAGTGCCCGTGGTTGTGCTCTCAGACACGCTGGGCTCAGCTCTCCAGCTGTACAACTCCTTCATATGGCAAAAAAGCAGCAAGAGGGGACAGGAAGAAAGGCTCAGATCACACATCATGCACGGAAACACACAACAGAGCAAAGCAGCTGACAGAGCTGCTGCTGACACAAAGTTTTGCTGGACAAAGACAAGGGAACACCGCATGAGCTGCAGCACAGGGAGAGCTCCCAAAGGCCGGTTCTGCTGAGGGGAAAGAATTTCTAAATATCACCAGGAAACATCTCAGATCCCATCCTTACATCTGCCTTCACCCACATTCCCACTCAGCAGAAGGACAGACAAGGGCTGCATGGAGCCGGCAGAGGAGCAGACACTGCCATCCTTTCCCTTTCCATTGGGGTTCACCCACCCTAACATCAGCACAGAGCGCCAAAAAAATTAAAATGTGTTTTGCTTTGGGATACAATTTCACGTCATGCTTGGATTATCCATTAGGTAATTTATGCTGCAGCCTGGAGAAGGTGTTTAACCTTCCATAATTAGCGAAACCTACAGCAACTCCAGGAATTCCACGAGACGTGCATTGCTTTTACCAAAAGTTTTCTTCGTAAGAGAAAAAAGAACTGCTTAAGAAAATATTTTAAAGGAACTTTGAGCTACTTCACATTGAAATAAAATGTTCCAGTAAGAGTAAATGGCTTAAATCAGCAGCCGACATTATTGAACCACTCAGTGCTCACTGAAGATACTCCTTACAGAGCAGCAAAATCCCTACGGGATTGAACTGCAAAAGAAAAACAATCTGTAGTGATATTTGTGAGGGTTCCCCTCCCTCCCCCCTTTTCTTCTCTCCTTGCATTGAGTTGAGACAAGCAAGGACCCACAGGTGCCTCCAGGCCAAATCTCTTGGCATGAGAAGCACTTGGTGTAATTTTGGTTTCCCAGTACATTCAAATATTCCAGAAATGTTTACACCACTTTGAGATATTCATCGGAAAAACCTGAGCTGCTGTCCAACTCCTATTTTCCTCCACCCAAACACACCCCGGCTTTCAGCACTGAGCTCTGTCTGGCTCTCAGGAGGAAAAAAAAACTTAACACCCTCATCAGAACAAAATCTTGCAAGAAGACCAAACAAGAGAGGTGGGGAGAAGAGCGAACTACGAGAAATGGTTGTGATGCGATTGAAAACGCGTGCAGAGTTAAAGCAAAACATCTCATTTCCCCCTCGCCCCCAGTTGGAAGGATGCAACTTCTTCCCAGCAAGCTGCACGCTTCCCTGCTCCATTTATCCCAACTGCCCATAGCCATACACAGAACCACACGCACATCGGATTGGGCTCCTTGCAAGCAAGGACCGCTGCAGCCCGAAACTGCAATGCAGTCACACTGCTCTCCTGGCTGTCCATCCCACGGCCGCCTCACCGGCAATACGAGAGCGCTCCATCTTCCCCTGCTTTAATTGCACACTCGCAGTCATCAAGCTCCCATTCTGCCAAGAGAGCTCTACCTCGCAACCCCGGCCCACAGAGGATTCGTTACGGTCGTTATCATTTCTAGAGCACCGCAGAGATTCGTATGGAGCTGCAGGGGGAGCCGATAAATCACAGCAATATTAATGCCGCCATCAAAATAAGCGCTACTCACTGCGTTTGAAGGTGCGTTAAGGCAAGAACTTTACAGTCCAGATGTGGTCTCACAGAGCTGAAACTCTGCGGGTAAAATTCCCACTAAAAATCACACTTTCCGTTAAACACGCTGATTTTCACAGGTTACGATTTTGGCTGAAGTCACTGAGCTGCCACCTCCTCCAGTACATCAAGAAACGTTAAGAAAAAGCACTCCTGTGAGCTTTGGGGAGCCCAAAACGGGAAGGACGGACAGGGCGAGCTGCTCCTTTTATTAATTGCAGATGGTTTGAGCCAACGCTGCAGCGCTTTATAAATCTGTGAGTTTGGACTCCCTTCAAAACACCGGAGTGGATTCTTGCTGCCTTCGAGGGGCTCAGCGCACGGGTTTGGCCCGGCCACGGCGCAGTTGGCCACGACTTGGGCTGCTAATGGACAACACATGCACGGTAGCTGCTCTTCCGATCGCTTTATCGCTCAAAAAACTCCAATCCATTGAAACCCTCAGAACTGAGCGACTCCTTTCAGTAAGTACAACTCTGCCCTCTGACACAACATACAGCAAACATGAGTGATGCTCCTTCGCTCTTCCCCTCACTCTGCCAGTTCTCCTTTCCAAGGCCCAGGGAAAAAAAAAAAAAAAAAAAAAAAGCAAAAGCAGGATTCTCCAGCTTTTTTGAGGTCTGTGCTGCCGTTATTTGCGTGAGACACTGAGAAAAATATATCCCCCAATATATACACCCTGATAAGGTATTCCCTTAAGGAAGTTGGGAGGGGGAAATCTCGGTGCGGCTGAGAACCAAATGTTAAAGATTACAATTGCAAAACCTGAGCAATTGACAAAACAGTATCTGTTCCCGGTCTCCCCACCCTCTGCCACCTGCCCGCGGGGACACCGGGACTAGAGGGAATCGGAAAGGGACTGCAGCGCACCGCCCGGCCCCGCCGCGCCGTGCGGGGCTTGGAGCCGCCGCCACCGCACCGGGGAGCACCGCTGTTCCCGACGGTCGCTGTGCCCCGCATCCCGCGCACCCCCCGTGGCTCCGCGCTTGGGTACGGGGAACCCCCGGCACGGCGAGCAACGGAATCGCTACCGGGCGCTTCTCGGCGTTACCTGTACCAGCGCAGCCCCTTCTCGTAGCACCTGTCGAAGAAATGCGGCTCAGCGCCCACCGCGCGCACCCCGGGGTGCACCCGCAGGAACTCCAGCAGCGCCCGCGTCCCGCCCTTCTTCACGCCCACGATGATGGCTTGCGGGAAGCGCCGGCTGCCGCCGCCCAACGCCGGGCCCGCGTCGCCCGCTGCCGTCGGAGCCGCGCCGTCGGGGAGCGCAGCGGGCGGCGGCAGCAGCAAGGCGGGCGGCAGCGGCTCGCAGGGCCCGGGCAGGCAATAGAAGAAGTAGGTGAAGAAGAGGATCATGGTGAGGAGTAGCGAGGCCCGCGGCGCCCAACCCGGCTCCGCTCCGCACCCCCGGCCCGACCCCTCCCCGCGCCCCCCCGGCCCGGCCCGGCCCTCCCTGCGCGCCGCCCTCGCTCCCACTCGCGGGCGGAGGGGGGCGGGCACGAGTGGGGCGAACCCGCCCGGGGACGGGGCTCACTCGTGGGGCGGCCCCGCGGCACCCCGGGGCAAGGGTCAGCACCCTGGGGCGGGGGGAGGGGGAAACCTGGGGGAGGCGTCGGTTCATCGGTTGCTATTCTATTTTTTTCTCCTTTTTATCATTTCGAACGTTTGGAGCCGCGCAGCAGCCGGGGAGGTGGAGGAGGCAGAGGGGCGGTCCAGCCCTAAATAACCGGCACGTCCCGTGGTATGCAATTAGCAGCCGGCAGCGCTAATTAGGTTGCGCGGGCTAACGGTGTGTGGAAACGTGGCTCATGTGTGCGTGTATTTCTTGTTTGAGGTGGGATATCCCTGCGCCCTGTGAAATACACCGCCCCAAAGCGGCAGTTCGAGCGCTGCACCTCCAAATGAGTGTGCACAATGATCGGTGTGGGGGGACCCAGCAAGAGCCAAGCAAACCCCTATCCCAAAGCAGCACAGCACCTGTCTGCATCAGAGGGACTGGATAAATCCTACCCGGCGCTGCAACAGAGATGGCACAAAGCCTGGGGCTGCTCGTGGGGCCGTGTCCCCTCGTCCTGAGGGCTCCATGGGGAAGCTCTGTGAATCCTCCTAGCCACGCGCCTCGAAACGCTGAGGCTTCCTTCCAGCCCTATCTGAAATCAGCAGTGTCTTAATTAACCTATTAATATAATTAGCTCTTTTTATAATTGGATTTGCTGAGTCTTCCAAGAGATTTGGGGGGGGGGAGGGGGGAGATGATGGCCTGAGTGCAAAGGGTGCAGAGCTGCGCAAATACCTCAGCACTGATGCTTCTGCGTGGTGACACAGCTGTGCAGTGACACAGGTGACAAGCTGCACAGTGGCACAGACACCTGAATGGACGCTTTCTTGATGGCACATTTGCATGGCTGCATGGTGGCACAATGGCAGTGTTGCATGGTAACAAAGATACCTGGTGAGATGGCAGCACTGCTGCACAGTGGCACAACTGCACGGTGGCACAGCTGCCAAATGGCCGGGCAGTGTTGAATGGTAACAGAGCTGCCCACTAACACAGGGCACTGTTGTACAGTGGTAGAGCTGCATGGTGACACAGCTGCACGGCAGCACAGCTGCCAAGTGGCACAATGACACGTGACACGGCTGCATGGTGTGGCACAGCTGCACGATGACAAGGCTGCTCAGTCACATGGCTGCATGGCAGCAGTGTTGCACTGGATGGTGATGTGGTGGCACTGCTACACAGTGGCACGGTGACAAAGCTGCATGGTGCCATGGCTGCTCAGTGACATGGCTACATGGTGGCACAGCTGCATGGTGACACGGTGACACGGCTGCAGGAAGGGCTTTGTGCCCTCTCGTGGCTGCGCTTGCAGGAGGCTCTGCTCATCCCATCCCATCCCATCCTGCACAGCTGCTTTTCAACACGAGGAAATAAAGGCCGGAGTGCAGCAGAGAACCTTCCCTGTTCACAGCCCAAAGGTTCCCTGGGGAAAAACACGAAGGGAAGATGATGACGAGGAAGTGAATCTGTTATCGGGAGCAGTTTGATAAATAAAAACGCATCCAAAATCCGCGCGGCACTTGCCAGCTCTTGTTGAGTTTACGCAAGTGATTAGAGAGAGGAACTGTTTCACTCCAGGCGAGAGCTGGTGGGAATGGTTCCAGCCCCGTGTTTGGGCTGGGGGGAAGTTGTTGTTGTTGGAAAATGCCAATTTGTCAAAATGGGAACCTTTGGCAGCAATATATCCACGCTGACAAACTTCTGTCTTCACACAGCCAGGGAGGCTCAGGAAAGGCAGAGGGGCGAGTGCATCACCCGCACTCATCATCCTCATGCCAGGAGGATCCCATGGGGCTGGGGCTGCTTTGTGGGCTGCCATTGGTGCTGTATTTTGGGGCTGCCTCTTGGTGTTGCCACCAAGCTCTGCCCCATCTCCCGCTGCAGTGCAGGGCAGGATGCAGAGAGTTCTACCTTTGCCTTTCTTGCCCTCCAGACTGGGGGGCTTAGAGCATGATCTGGAAGTGCGGTGCTGGGGCAGCCCAGTTAACTAAGGGCCGTAAGTGCTCAGCTGCAAGTTGTTCCATGAAATTTAAACATTTAATTTTGCTTGATTTAAAATAGTTGGGCTGCACTTTTCAGCTCTTTGAGATTTCTTTCCAACCCATCATTTCAATGTCATTTTAAATGGAGTAGAGGAGCTTTTTAAGGACAAAACACCACATTTTGGCTTGGGGATGTGCATTGAGGGTTCTGTGCAGGCAGGTTTGGGGGTCTTATTGCCAGCAGGAATGGGTCTGGAGGTCTTGGTGCTGTTATTTTCACCTCCAGCCAAAAAAAAACCGCTGTTCTGAAATGGGAAGCTCCAATGTTCTGCGTTCGGTGCCCTCTGCTCACCTCGGGTGGGGGCTTGCAGCTGTCCCCCAGGAGCTCACAGGGTGCAGGAGCCTCAGGGCTGCCCTGGAGGAGGCAGATGAAAGCATCCAGGGCTGACACTGGTGTTATGGATGGGCTGCGGAGAGCAGTGTGCAGACACTGCTACAGATGTGGAAGGATGGAAGGAGCTTCCGCTCTTCCGACCCTGATGGATGAGATGTGAGGGCAGACACTGCACTCACTGCATCATCACTGCCTCCACCTCTGCCTGGGGCAAAGGGTGTGGGAGCCCTGCAGATGGATGTCTATGCTATGGGAAGGGGGGCATTGCTCCCCAGGGCCAAGCAGACGCAGGGTCTTAGGGAGAGCGGGGGCACTGCCACTGTGCAGGGGAAGATGTGTGGCCAAAGGAGTTTTTAGCAGAAGTCCATGAGGAAGAAGAAGTGAGATGCATCTGTGAGCTCCCACCACATCGGTGATGCTCAGAGCTGGAAGGTGGGCACCAGGAGGGGAAAAGAAAGCAGCAGAGGGACCCCCTTCTGTGTTTGGGTGTGTTGGCAGCCCCATCCCATGGCAGTACCCAAGGGTGGCTCAGCCCTGGGGGGAGGAGGCACTGGGACAGAGCAAATTCCCAGGGTGGTATTCTCCCAAACTCCCAGTGCTCTGTGCAGAGGTTCCCTTGCAGCACCTCTCATCCCATTTTTCTTTTATTACAACCTCTCCTGATGCCTTTGGGCTCAAGCAATTGAATTCCAGCAAGCTCTACGTAGAGAAACATCACCATGATGCTGCATGATCTCAGTTCTCCCCTCACCCATCCTTCTTCCCCATCCCAAACGCTCACCCCTGAGCAGGATGGGACTCAATAATGCTCTGCGCATTCCCCCAGCCCCTTTCCCAGAGCCCCCCTGGCTGTGCAGCACACGGGCAGGAGCCACCGTGGGTCTCCTGAAGTCTGTTATTACAAAGAAAGAAAGAAAATGGCTCAAGGGATCAGCAGGGATAAAAAACACTTTAGCAACACAGGAGATCATTTAACAGGTCACCTCTGCCACGGAGTTCGCCCAGCTGATAAAGGCGAGTAAACTTATTAAAGAGCACACAGCTTGATTTGAAACGGCTGCTCCCAAACAGCCAATTACTCCAGGCCGTTCCAATCCAATTAGGAAGGCTGTTTCCCTGATTACGGCGGTGTGTTTTACAAATACGGCACAGCTCCTTGGGTTCAAAGAGCAAACCATGAAAGGGGGTTTGGAGAGGGGCGAGCCAGCGCCTGCAGTCAGGGGAGGAGCGGGGAGGCAAATCGAAACCTGTGTGCAAGGATGCAGGTCCCTATGTGCAGGAATGTGGGTCTCTATGCACAGGACTGTGGGTACCATTCTGGATGGGGATGGCTGGGCCCTGCAGGCAGCCACACTCACTGGAAGAGCAGCCCCATGCTTGACCCTAGAGCTTTCCAGCCCTGTGCAGGCCAGCCAATCTCTTTGGGAGTCCCAGTCACCTCACCAGGATCCCAGCAAAGGCCACCCCATTGCAACCTCGAGGTAATAGCATGGGGGAATCTGCCCCCATCTTCACTGCAAGGAGAGGCAGTGCCTAAAGGGAGAAACCCAGGGTGGCTCTTCCTGAGCTTACAGCTTGCTGAGCCCAGGCCCTCTCTGCTTGGATGGATGTGAGCGTGAGGAAGAAGGAGGAAGAATGCACTGTGTCTCTTTCTAACCAGGACTGCAGGCGCTGCGGTGCACCAAATGGATCCAATCCAAGAGCTGGAGTTTCCCATTGCGTTGAGGGAGATACAGCGAGCCCGTCACTGTGGGCACTAAAAATTAACCTGCAGGCTCCATCCTCATCCCAACAGTGCAGTGGGGTTTGGGAAGGGCTGTATGGAGCCAGGAGTGGGGCTGGAGCTCCTCTGCTCACTCAGTGCCTTCACCGCCATCCAAACCTTCACCGCAACCGCTCCAACGGGTTTGCTGGCATACGGCCACCTCTGGGGTGTAGCACAGCCCCTGTTATTAAAATGTGTGACAGCAGCTCAAGATGGAAAGTGAAGTTGTACATTCTCCATCTGAAACTCTGGGAGGAATTTCAAGCAGGGGAATGCAATTTCCAGCCTGGAGGAGAGCCAGCAGCGCCAGGGCGAGATTTTTCTTAATATGGTTTTGCAAAACTTGAACATAGAAAATTGCCCGTAGCTATAGCAATAAGAGCGAGCTGCAGACAGCCCCGCACAGCATCCACACACCGCCAGCAGCCCCGTGCCCCAGCTCCTGTGCTGTGCTCTGTACCACAGGGACGTTCTGGCCCAGTAGTTCCCAAATAGTGACAGCACCTTGTGTAGAAGGCAAACGCTGCTGCTCGCAGTGTGCCCCAGGCAGGAGGAAGTTTACCCCAAGCTCTCGCTGCTCGCAACAGCCCAGGGTTCAGCTCGGTGCTGTTCTCTCCAAAATGGCACTGGGGCAGTGGTGGGGCAGGATATGGGTCCCAGCAGGGCGGCCCCATCCCCACATCCCCACTGCCTCTGTGGCCGCCTGCAGCAGCGTGGAATCGCCTGGCATTGGGCCATTGCATTTACACTGGGAGCCTGCACCCTGGTTCTGCTTTTGATTTAAATAATCCCAATAAGGGGATAGAGCAGCCAAAACCCACTGATTTTTATTTTTATTTTTAAAAAAGCTTCGATTTTAAAAAATAATATCTGTGAAATGTGTGATTGTTATTAGAGTAGGCAGAGCTGCAGGGTATCAGACACAGCCTGTCCCTGCCCAAAACCCCATCCCCAGGACTCTGGCTATTAACTGTGCCATCCTCCATGCTGCTTCCCAGCCTTGGCTCTGCTTTCCTTCTCATTCTTTCATGCAGAAGCAAACTTGGGGCTGAGTGCAATTATTCCCTTATTGGTGCCCTCCTGGGCGAAATCTCAGCAGTGACAACAGCTTCACTTCATCCTGGAAGCAAAAAAAAAACCCAAAACACAGGGAATGGGAAGGCACAAAAACAATGAGACGTTTCTTATTGGTTTGCTGATAGCCAGCATCCAGTCACAGGGTTCTTCTATAGGCTTTTCTTTATTTTTCTATAGAATTTTTTAATCCTGTTGAGATACATGAGGTGAAACCCATCCAGATGGAGTCGGCAGCTCATCAGAGGACTGTTAGGTTGCCCCCGGCCCAACAAAAACCATTTCCAACTGAGAAAGTCACACCTTGGAGAAGACATCAAATATCACTGTGTTTGCAGGGGAAGAATTGCTGCAGCCAAAGCAGCCGGTGCAGCCTGGGGACCCTACCTTCATTAGCTGCCTCTCGTTAGTAGAAAAGGGCCCCCATGGTTCTTTCTGCCTGTCTTCTACGTCAGCCAGTGTGGTGCACAGTTGACTGACCGGCCAGCAGTATCTCAACAACTGCTTACCTGCTCCTTATGAGCATAATAATTCAGTGGAACCATCATTATGTGTTCATTGCTGATCTCATTTAGAGTTAATTACATGCCAGATAGATGTATCTTTAATGCACTTGGAAGCATCCCAATGAAGGCTCTGAGCAGCCATCGATGAACATGAACACCAGCCTTCATTCTGCATGGCGTGTTTGTTGGCAGGTCTAAATCGATGGCATCCTCCGACTCAGCAAATGTGAGGTGCTCTGAGCAGCCCCACACCCATGGCAGATGGGAGGGCTGGAGCACAGCTGAGCATCTCCGTGCCATACCACACCAGCAGAGCTTGTTGTCTTGGTGTGTGGAGCTGGGGTGATGATCCCCTCTTGCAAAATCCCCCCCGTGGGCACACAGAGCTGTTCTTCACCCAGCACCATGTGCTCACACCAAGTTGCAGCCGGGGAACTCCGTGCTGCCGTGCCCAACCTCTGCGGGAAGCACTTTGTTTCAAGCAAACCACTTTACAAGTTTCTTCTTCTTTTTTGCAAAAAAAAAAAAATTCATTTGTGGGTAGGGGGTTGCTTTGCTTGTTTGACTTAAAGCAAAACGTCTCAAGGTGCAGATGGCCACGTTTACAAGTCTATGAAACTCCAGCATGCCCACTGCTAATTCCTGGCTCAAGTGGGGGGCTGCTTTCATTTGGCTTCAATTCAGCCACGTTTCCAGTAGCCAAGCAGAGGTGAAGCTGTGGGATCAACAACTGCGGTGCGTGGAACAGAGCTGAGCCATAGCGAAACACAGAGTGAAGTTTTGGAGAGAGCATCTCAAATGCATCACAGAGTAATAGCAGCATTTGGAGGATTCCATTTGGGAAAACCTAATCTTCAGGAGTTTGCCAGTAGCAGGAGAAGAACCCAGCTGCCACTTTGGGTCAGAAACACAACTTTCAGCCCCAACAGAGCCCACTGCCCAAAAAGCCACACCAATGGTTCAAGTCGTGCATGCAGGCAACGTGTTCTCTTTGTCCCTTTTCATTGCTCCAAGCTTAACTCTGTAAACCCCCTACGACAGCAAAATATTTCCCCATTAAGAACAACTAATGAACGTGTAACTAATCAGGTAATGAACACGATGAGCTCATGCTCCTGTTCCCCCAAGCAGCCACTTGCACTCCGGAACTGCAGCGTGGAAATCAACGCAGGGGCACTCATGGGTCATGAGCCAGGTGGGAAATATCCACATTGTGGAGATGTTTGGGGTGATAAGAAGCAAAAGCAAAGCTCTCCGATCCCCATACATTCCCCAAAGCTCTCCCACCCTATGAGTCCCCCAGAGCTCCCATTGCTATAGGTTCCCCAAAGCTCTCCCACCCTGTGGGTCCACCAAAGCACTGCCATCCTCGTTGGTCCCCATGGATCTCCATGCCATGCTCATTGGTGAAGGTTGATCTCCCATCTCTCACCATCTGCAGAGCACGTGCTGCAGCACTCAGCAGGAGGCTGGAAAGCTCCGAATAGAAGCGGGCATGGGGTCCGCCTGCTGGCTGCAATACCTTCACACCAATAAAGTGCAGGTGTTGGGGGGATTGCATGTGCTTATCTGCATGCTTCAATAGCACTCAGGTCGTGCTTTCTGGTGCCCGGCCCCCTCCCAGCTCACACGTGGTGGGAAAAAAAGCTTGGAAAAGGCTGAGCTTGGAGAAGAAAGTCTCTTGGTGAGGATCCCCTTTCCTAATGACAGTGGGCATCTGGTTCCTATAGCACAAGCTCCCCATGTGCTGCCTGACCCCACAGTGCAGGTTAGTGCAGCCCCACTGGAGGGAGAGGGGCTGTGTCTGGAGCTGGGCTGATGACAGCAGCTTTCAGGCAGCTCAGCCAGCCCTGGTACGTCTGGGAGGGATGGAGCCAGGCCCGGAGCTGCAGTAACCTGAGGCTGCTCAGAGTGAGTGGCTCTGAGGGGAGCATGAGACTGCTGGAACCACATCATTCCTTGCAGGCAAATGGTACCCACCAGCATCCCATGGTAGGCCCCAAATCTTTGGCTGAATAACAGGAGAGCTCATGTTGGAAGGAGGTGGAGAGCATCCCAGGTGTCCACAGAGCAGGGTAGACAATGATCAAAAACGAGTGTATAAAATCTGAGATGCTGGCAATGGGTTTAGCATCACGCCATCCATCCCACACCCTGCTCCCTGAGCCAGGGGCTGAGTCCCTGCATCAGTTCCAGGAGGAGACAGGTGCTGCCCAATGGTGGAAGCAGCACTTCCTTGTGCTGCATCACATCTGGCAAAGGGATGCTGAGCCGGGTGAGGTCTCTGCTCCACTCCAGTACCAACCCTATGATCCCAGACTGAATAAGCAGTGCCATCATCCCACTCAGCACTGCAGCTGGCTCCGAGGCATCGCAGAGCTGTGACATCCAACCTAATGTGCCATTGGGATGGTCTCTGGCCAGGCAAGGAGAAGGGGCTGCCTCCAAAGCCGCTCTGCAGAATCCCCCCTCCATGCCCTACACAGGAGATGGATGAAATTTGGAGGCTACAGGTGGGCAGACCCTCAGTGATCCCCAAATCCTGAGGCATGGCCTACAGCACCCGCAGGAGCAGCATTGACCCTTTCAGGCTCAGCAGGACCTGTGGGCACCTCAGTGTGGGCCCCTCTCACCCTCCCCACAGCCCACGGGAGCCCATGTGGATGCCCCCCGGTCCTTTTTAACCTCAGATCTTTGGTATTATTAACAACATCCATGTGAGGCTCACTCACCCGATGGGATAACATCTGGGGGATATTCATCACGACCACCGCGGGCTGCAGCCGCCCGTGCTCCCCAGGGAGCGGGATGGGTCACATCTGAGCCCCGAGCCGCTTGATGTGGAGTCATTAGCATGCACAGACTTCCAGCCCAATTACTTGACAGATGAAATCAAGATCCGTTGGCCTTATTGCTTGCATCTGGAGGGCCACATCCGTGCGCACGCCTCCTTCGTCCGGCCCGGCCCTGCGCCAGAGCTCGCTTCATCTGGATGTCGTTTAATGCCGCTCTGCATATGGGAACGCATCGAACGCGCCGCTGTGCAATTAGCCCTACAAACAGCAATTATCCACAGCACCTTCGGAGAGGAAAAAACACCCCATGGCATGACCCGTTCTGCTCTGCCCGTTGGGAGCAGCCCCGCAGCTTTCCTTCCCGCTGCAGTTGGGGATCAGATCGTGCCCACCCGCAGCTCGAGCTGCTGCCGTTCTGCTGATGGATTTTGCACAGAGGAACAATTACACCTCGTTTCTACCCATTAATGCAATCAGCAGCATTGAGTGTGCTGTAAGAAAAAAAACCTTAATGTTGCATTTGAACTTTCTGAAGCGCTGGAGGTAGCACATAGATGCAGCCCAAGCAGAAAGCCCCAAATCCCAGCAATTATGGATCAGAAATGTTGGTGTGGGGCTGGAGCTTCTGGCACTCCTTGTATCATCCTTCAGCTGTGCCTGAGGGCCTCTTTTTCCAGTGCTGTTAACTGAACAAGAAAGGTTCCTTGTTGTCACGTGTGTCCTCTGCACTTTGCTGCTTCCAAGGGCTGGTGCTTTGGGGGTGAGACCATGTGTGGGTGTGGGATGGGAGCCTGCAAGATTGGAACCCACAGATGAGAAATCGTAGGATGAGATCCTGTGGGATGGAATCCTGTAGGATGGGATGCCACAGGAGCCAATGTTCTCAGCATAGAGCCTGCCCAGCTGTGAAGCCAGCTCTGTCCTGCATAGGGGACAAAAAGTGGTGAAGGAATTCAGGCTCCTTTTTTCCCCCTGCAACCCATCTGTGCTTAATTTCTTTGGGGGTTTCACTCCAAATTCTTCAGATTCTATGGCAAATGCTTTGCAGTGCTCGGTTCAGCTTGCCTCAATGGCTGCCCAGCCTGGGGCTGCCTACACCGACCTTCCAAATCCACCAACAACCAATGTCCAACAAATATGCAATAAAAATGCAATATCAAACTGTTGTCACCAGCATAGAGGCTGCAAGAGCATCTATGGGCTGTGGCAGCAGGGGACAATAGGTTTGGTGTCAGAGGACCACACTGTGCATCGCTGCTCCCATCCGTTCTCCATTCCTGCATGCTGGGAGCAGAGCAC